TAATATTTTTTTAAAAAATATTGATAAATAAGTATCAAAATTATAAAAAAATATATAAATAATTATGAGTTTGGATTTGTCAACCAAAGCATGCATTATTAAACCAACCCCACAATCCACATTGTGTGTGTTTACTATTTGCATCGACAATATATAAAACTTTTGGTGTCACAAAATTTAAAAATAAAATAAATTACAAGACTCTATTTATTGAATAATACTATAATATTAACTTTTATATTCATATTTTTAAATTTTATTTTAATTGAATTGAATTTTAAGTATTTGAGTAGATGATATTTTAAAATTTAAATTTTAAATAGTCCATTTAATTTTTTTGAATAACAATGTAATATTTAAATTTTAAACGAGACTACTATCATTTGTTAATAGTAATACAATTATTAAATTATTAAAAAAAATAAAATTGATAAAATAAAATAAGTAATGGCATGTTGCACCACTTACCTAAATGCAGATCCGTCCCCGGGCATTGATGATCAAATCAAAGTGCAGGTCAATTCCTATTTCCTAGTGGTAAAAATTTGACAAAAGGCTAATGGGACACAATAAATCGCACTATCATCATCTTGCAAATGCAATGCTTTTTCCCTGTATATGTTTAGAAAAAAATTTATTTTCATTTTTATTTTTTTGTTCATTTAAAAAATATATATGTTCAATAATTAAAAAAAATAAACTTATAAGAGATAAGAATATTTGTATATTTATCTAAACACAGCTACTTTTTATAAATTAACATTATTATTTAATTATCTCGGTGCGAAAAGCAAAATATATATTTATTTGGAATGAATCAAGTATCTTCTTCAAATCCTTTGGAAGGGATGATGAAGTTGTTGTAGTAAGTTAATTAATTTGTGATTGTACTAATAGTTTTTCAGTCGAACCTAACACACTAGACAAATAAATCTCATGTGAGGATTACGGATTCTTAAGTTATAAAAAAAAAAAAGAATTATCTTTTTCAACACATTTCTTGAGGATTACGGATTCTTAAGTTATAAAAAAAAAAAAAAAAATTATCTTTTTCAACACATTTCTTGCGCATATACGCGCATGTTTAGAAGTTTTTCATTATCTCAATTGTAGTCTTAGACCGTAAAAAATACTATCTACTCCCGATACAGATGACTATTGTTTTTTTTTTTATCTGTCCCATTGAAGATTATCTCTTTATATTTTTAATAAATTCATTATCTTAAACATACTTAAAAAATATAAATCAATTTAATTAAATTTCTAACTTTTTACGGGCCTACTCAAAACCCTTTTATTTCTATTTTTATTCTCAATAAACAAATATTTTTATCTATATTTAAAATTTCTCATTTTTTATGAAATTGGTTTTAAGTTGATTATAAATAAAAAAAATATATATTTTTATTTATTTGTATTATATAAAATTTTATTATCTACAAAATGATATTCATATTGCATATATTTTATTGAGATATAATTTAAAAATATTTAAAATACCAACAATATTATTCAAATAAAAAATAATAAAATAATATAATAATTTATTATTAATAATTTATTAATCTACGCTACCTAAAATATTGTGTCTCTAAAAAAAATAATTTATGTTGTGCACGGAGGGAGTATTAAAGTATAATAAATTGGGTTTTTATGTTTGATTTTTATTCCAAATGTAGGGTTTTTTTATTTAATTGTTTTTATTTAGATATTGGATTGGACATATTATTTTATAAATATATATATATATATTTTATAGAATATTATGAAAATGGTTAATAAAAAATTTCAAAATAAATAAAACCTAATATATCCTATATACTCCCTGCGTCCCGAAACTAAATATCCATTTCTTTTGGCACATAGTTTTAGAAATATTAGTATTATATTGGAATATAGTATGAATAAAGTAGAATTGACTAAAATAACCTTATTAGTATGTGTGATATAAAGATAATGACATTTGTGTAATATATTGTAAGTTGTAAGGATATTTGTAATGTTAGGTAGATAGTACAGTTACTAAAAAATGAAATGGATACTTTGTTATGAGACGGACTAAAATGGAAAAATGGATACTTTGTTATGGGACGGAGGGAGTATAATATTTTAAATAGATTGTATAATTAATAATGCTTTTTTTTTTACTAAATCAGAAGAATAATACTCCCTCTATCCAGTTAGAAAGTATACATATTTCTATTTTGGAACGTCCAATTATAAAGTAAACATTTTATTAAATACCTCAATTTTTTTCACAAATACCCCTATTTTACATCACATCATTACTTTTACACCAAAAAGTAAGGGCAAAAATGTCATTACACTACTTTTAACTACCCACTATAATTAAAATATTACTCCCTCTGTCCGTTAACAATTTATCCATTTTTCCATTTTGGTCTGTCCCATAACAAAGTATCAATTTCTTTTTTTTAGTAATTGTACTATCTACCTAACATTACAAATACCCTTTCAATTTATAATATATTACACAAATGTCATTACATTTATATCATACAATACTAATAAGGTTAATTTAGTCTTTTTACCTTTATTTCTATTTTATCCTAATATAATACTAATATTTTTAAAACTCCATGCAAAAAGCAAATAGATATATAGATATAGGACGGAGTGAGTATTATTTCTTAAGCACTGCGTCAAAAGTAAGTGTATACTTTATGTGTAGACGGAGGGAGTATTATTTCTTAAACATTGCGTCAAAAGTAAGTGTATATTTTATTTGTGGATGGAGAGAGTATTATTTATCCTATTTCGCTTTTGGATTCTGAAGTTTGTGTCTACTTTTAATAATAAAAAAATAATAATATTCTCTCCATCCAAGCTAAATTATTCCGTTTCATTCCAACTAAATTGTCCTATTTAAATTAGACACGGAGTTTTAAGTATTATGTAATTAATAAATAATTAAAAATTATATTAGTAAAAATAATTATAATTTAATAAAAATAATGATAGATTAAGATTAAGATAACTAAATAGTTTAATTAAAATAAAAAAATTATAAATTTTCAATTTTAAAATGTGATTAAAGTATATAATTATATTTCTAAAAAAGAAAAAAAAATTATGTGAAATGGACAAAAATAAAAATATAAAAAAAAATTAAGTGGGACGGAGAGAACACTAAATTAATATAATGTTATAAATATATATATATATATATATATATATATATAAGGTATTAACTTTTTGTATGTCTGCTTTGACGCTATCTTTGTTGATCCTTAGATTAATTTAGGGAGGACAAAATGCCGCAAGACACCAAGGTCTTAGTGTTTGTCTAGGGGTTTTTGAAGATTTTTGAAAATTTGAAAGTTTAAAAAAAAAAAAAGTAAAAATGTTAATATTTAATTTGATGTTTTATGAGAGAAAAATATATTTTATGTTATATTGTTTAAAAAATGAATAGTGACAAATGAGTGAAAGTGTGTTATATAAAAAATATATATAGGTTGGAGTTTCGCCTTAATCCCGGCGATAGATTTCTCTTTTAAAAAATGTTTATTTGTTTGGTTGGGGAATTTAGGGTTTTGAAATAATAAAAAGTTAAAATTAAGCAAAATTTTAATATAATGTAAATAATGATTCAATACAATACTTTAACTGAAAATAAATTTTAATATAATAATTTAAATAAAAAATAAATATATAATTCAATAATAATAATATGGGTGTGTTTTTTGGGAAAAATTTGGGAAGATTTGATTTATGTTTAATTTAGATTTGAATTTTAAGATAATTTTAGAAGTTTTATTTTTTTGGTTACTAGATTTTGTTTGGATTTTAGAGGTTTCGGTGTATATTGGTTGGATAATTAATAAATATGATTGATGTAAATATGTATTAAATTAAATTTATAAAGTTAATAGTAATGTAATTTGAGTATTAATTTGTCTCAATCATAAATAAATATTTATATTTTAAATTTATTTTTATTATATAAAATTTTATTTTATATAAGATGATATTCATATGGTATATATTTTATTAAAATATAATTATTAAATAATTAAAAAACATATTTTAAAATATTTGAATCATATATGTTAAATCATACACCAACTATTAATTATATAAATTATTCAATCCAATTCTCAGCCTAAGAAGTGAAACAATTAATTGGCAGCAGTATTGCACGCCATGTAAAGCTTCATTTAAATTTTTGTGGCCAGTGATTGACAAGCCCGTCGAGTCCTATTAACATAGGCTTGCAACTTTGGAAAAAATTGGACTGAATTTCGTATTAAAATAATATTTGATATGATATTTTATAAAAAAATAAATATATATTTTTTTAAAAAAATACATAGTCTAAATATTAAAATTTAGAAAAATTTGATTAAAAAAGAAAACAAAAACCCCTTCAATTTTACATTGTTATTCGCTTTACAATAATTAAGCAGTAAATTTTCCGAACTCTTTGCCAAAAAAATACATTCTCCAAACAAACAGACCCCAGCATGCAATAATATACTCCCTCCAAGGATGGAACTACATTAGGGCATCCCCAAGCCAAAGTTTTTATAATTTTTTTAATATTAAAAATATTAATTTTTATGTATTTATATACAATTTGCCCCTCCCCCTTCAGAAAAAATTTATTTAAATTCATATTTAATTATGTCATTATTATTTATTTAAATTTATTAGCTAAATATTAAATAAATTATAATATTTTGCTCCCATCAGGATTTAGATGCTAGTTTCGTCACTGACTCTCTCCGTCCCAAAATTATAGTATGAGCTGTATTTGACACGAGATTTAAGAAATATTGATATTATATTGGTAGTGGGTAAAAAGTACGGGTAAAAGAGTTTTTTACCCTTGTGAGTGTATTAGTGTAATATAATTATTTATGAAAATGAGACTATTGTTTTGAGACGGACAAAAAATGATAAATATGACTGTTGTATTGGGACAGTGGGGCTAATATATATCATTTGAAATCCCTTTAAATTTGGTGTTACGTGATTGTGCACTCACTCACTCGCTATGGCTTTATATCTATTGCTTGTGCTTCTTCTTTGCTGTTCTAATCCTGCCATTCTTGCGGTTTCTACCAACGTTGGTTTATTTATTTATTTTTTTAATGCGTTTTTTACAAGTATTTATTTAGTTTTTTATTCTATTTTTCATATATTTTTTAAATATTATATATAATATATTTTTATTTAAAATATTATATTCAATAATTATGTTATTAAAGAACATGAAAATACCTCGAGTAAACAAAATTTTTAAATGTGTTTATTTTGTATTATTTTTGTTCAAATAGTTGATTTGATGCAATTTAATATCATTTTATAAAAAATCTTAAAAATTACTTATATAGTGAAAAAGGAGCTAAAAATAACGCAAAGCAACCAAAGCCTTTCTTTTGATACTTTTAATTTACTCTTAATAAAAATAATTATTAAATACTTAGGTTACATTTTTGGAAAAAAAAAATAATAATAAAATGTAATTATATTATCATTTTATAAAATTGGAGATATTATGGTTCAGGTTCACATAGTGTATATGGGAGAAAAGGCAAAGGATGATGAGCCTCAACTGCTTCTCAATTCTCACCATATGCTTCTCTCTTCAATCCTTGGAAGGTACATTTCAGTTTGGGTTTCTTTGTGTTGTGTTTTTGTTTGAGATATAGTATATCTTTTAATATAATTGTCTGAGTAATATAGAAAATAATATTTTGTGTTGAATACTGATTTTCTGTGAAATCATAAATTATAAAATATTATATATATTGAAAATTATGTGAAAAAATAAACATTTGTTTTTAATTATATAATAATAATAATAATAATAACACTCTTGCATTTTTTTATTTATATATTTTAATCTTACATTTATTTATAATTTTACTATTACCATAATTATATTATTATATATATATATATATATATATCTATTCACTTCATTATCTCACTAGGTCATTTACTTATAATACATTCATCTTAAGTAACACTCAATATTTTTCTATCAATAAAAATTAAATTTCATGTTCAACTCATATAAACATACATTTCATGGAAAAAGAATATTTTTGATTCAATCAAAACCATCTTTCTATAAGGGATAATTATAATGTTGATTGAGACTAAACAATATTAGTATTAAAATAGCCCCGATTAACACATTGTAATAATATACTTCCTCCGTCCCTTATCAAAGAGGCTCTTTGGGGTTATGTAATAAATTTAAAAATAATAATATTTTATTAGATATTGGAAGTGTGTGATTTTGTATAAAATAATTATATGTGTAATGAAATATTTGTAATTTAGATAAAAATTAAGAGTATTTTGGTATTTATGTATAATTACTTTTTCTAAAATAAGAAAGAGAAACTTTGAAATGAGACAAATGAAACTAGTAAAAAAATATTTTGAATTGGGCCGGACGTAGATTGTGTTAACATTATATATTGAACCATCATCTAATGTGTATACCATTATATATTGTGTATATGTTGTATTAATATGTAATATGTAATGAAATCAAATATGTTATGTGCTATTGAATTATTATAATAAATTATTAACATTTTAATTATATTAAGACAAAATTGCTCATAAGTGGTTTCGAAACTTAGTGTATATCCCTCAAAATTGAATGACGCTCTTTTATATTGTAAAAATTGTTGCATGAAATCCTGTTGTAGTTTTAAAATTCAGTGTAGCGTAAATTTCTACATTATTTTAAAAATTGCATGTCGCCCTTTATACTTTAAAAAATATTGCATGAAACTCCCCGCCATACATAAATTATAGATAGGAAATTATTAAATTTAATAATTATTTTAATTTAAAATTTAACATACAAAAGAATATCTAACAAATAATAATACTTCATATGTCAATTAGTAAACTTCTCATTTTACCATTTAGTTTATTCAAATAAAAAAATTTTATTATTTATTTTATAATAAAAAAAACTTTCAACTAAATATTAAAATAGATATTGCACTATTTTATTACATTATATATTTATAAAATATTAATTTATCTTAATCTGCAAAAGTCAAATAAAAAACTTACCGATGGACGGAAGGAATATAACATAATATTCAATTTGCCCGCCAAAATTATATCACAGTTCATTTTTTATTGTCCGCTAAACTTATACACAATCCGATTATAGTAAATAACATTATCCTCCTGCAATTTTATTATTCTTATTTAACAAATAATATCAAATTGTAATTTATTTATTTATTTATTTCACTATTTTTTATCAATAATTTTAATAAATTTATGATATTACCCTTATTTTATTTTTTACATACCTCACTTTAATATTAAAATATTATTATTTATTACTCTCAATGCCCAAACAAACCACTATTTTACGGGATGAAATGAATATTATATAATTAAGGATAGATCTCATATTTTCAAAAATAACTTGATTTTTTTTTTTAATTTTATTTTAAGTAGAACACGCTACTTTATCCTTAACTTGGGACTTTCACTGCAGGTCCCATACCAAAAAACAATTAAACAATACTCTTTTCATTCCATAACAAATGATACAATTTCTTTATTAATTTGATCTTATAACAAATGACACATTTTTATATTTGATAAAATATATTAATTTAAAATATACTTAAAAAAAATAAATAACTTAATTAACTTTAGAACATACACATTGAGTTATATATTAAGTATGACCGTATTTTAAACCATTTCAGGTTGGGCTAATCTAGATTTTGAAACAGGGTCATACTTTTGCCTAACTTTTTTCAAACCAAAATTAAAATCAGGTCGGGTCTACCTAACACAAATATGAATGGATTGGGCTATTTTGGTATGAAAAATCGAATTTTGAAACTGTCACTTTTAATTTATCTTATATAATACAAATACAACCTATAAACGGATAAATATGACAATAGTTTAAATACACTATTCATCCATTTTTCTCCTCAAAAAATATTAAATCAAACATCTATTTTTTATTTTTTATATTATACTAAAAATCAATTTTACATTCAAAGCATCACATCAACACCTATTTATATCACATCATACAACTATTCAAATTCAAAATTTTTTCTATTCAAATCTCAACTCAACCCCCAAACAAACATACAATAAAATATAAATTGTCTGCATAATTTTTAATATCTAACATGTTGGATTAAGGCTATTGACACTCTAATCCTCCCCGTATAATTTAACATAAATAAAGGAAATATTTTAAATAAGTTTATTGTAAAATTCATTATTTTTAATAATAAAAATATTTATTTATTTATTTATATTGTTTTTAATCTACTTTTACTTATGTAATATATATATATTTGTATACAATTAAGAATATTGTGTTGTTTCTATATTTGGTAGATTTTAATTATTACTATTATTTAAATGAAATAGTATAGTTTTATATACTTATATATTTAGTTGGTTTTGATTTAAAATTAGTATGTAATTTGAATTTGAATTTAAATAGTATTTTGATATAATATTATAAGAAAAAATAATATTGAAAATCATTAAAAAATGAATACAAAGTTTTTTTTTTTAAAATAAAAGATAAAAAACAAATACAACCCACATTTTACATGAAATGTAAAAGATTATGTATAAAAGATTTTTTTTTTTTTTTCTTAAAAAAGGTAGATGAATATCTTTTTGTTAAAAACATTGAATTTATTATTTATGTCAGCAAAGAAGCAGCAGAGGAATCAATTGTGTACAGCTACAAGCATGGATTCTCAGGATTTGCTGCTATCTTAACTTCTTCCCAGGCCCAAATTATTGCAGGTCCTCTTTTTCTTTTTATTTTATTTTTTTTTTAAAAAAATCTATTTTTCTAGTAAAATAATTGCTCAATTAATATTATAAAATAATTACTCTATTAATATTATAAAAAATTGCGTTGAGTGAGATATTGTTAAATAATAGAATAAATTATATAATAAATATTTGTGATAAAAAAAATAAATAAAGATATTTACTTAGAATACTTAGTAAAAATTTAGAAGACACGCCATTGTTGTATTGAATAAATGCCTCTAGAATCTCATATGTCAATGGGATATATAGAAGGGCAACAAAAAACATATACAATGGTTTTTAGTGGATATGCACGAGCATATTAAATTAGACACGCCAGTGTTTCACCTCACAACACCCCTGGATAGAACGGCCATGTATGAGGCCGTTTATGAAACATGGTCGTGTTGTTAAAACAGAAATATATATGATCATGTTAATATTACACACGTCTATGTTCGAAACATCCTTCAACTATGCCCTGTATAAAACGGTCTTGTTTTTATGAATACGACTGTGTTTGTCGTGGGTTGGATTTTTTTAAAACCCGATTCAGTCGAGCATGGTACACAAAATCTCCAAATCTTCTATGATCGAAATCTTCGCATGGCAACAACTTCGGCAGTAAGATCATTGGGTGATGGCGACAACCCCGGTGGTGGCGGACAAGCACGTCGGCCGCGGTAGAGGCGGATGTGGCGAAGATTCGAGGGTCTTTCCTGAAGTAACGGATTTATGTTTAGGGGGAAAAGGGGGAGAGAAAGAAGACCATCAGCTTGGCTTCGCCTGCACCAGATGCTCGCGATTTCGAATCGATTTATCCTAATAAACTATTATTTCCTAATCGCCTTGTAGTAAAAAAAGTCATGTGTTATTTTATTATTATTATTTTTTTTTAAAAAAAAATTCTTCTGTATTTTTAATAAACTATTATTTGCCTAATGTGAAAATTATGATTTAATATATGATTAAAAATAAATTCAAAAGATATATAAAAAATTATTTCCAATAAATATATTATCAATTTGTAGAAAAGATAATTATGTATAATACAAACCTATGTATATATATGATTAATACAAATCAATTTTATTAGAAATACGAAGTTTTCAATACATATAAATATTTATTTTTTACAAAAGGAAAAAACAGAAATAAGATATTATAAAACTAGTCCTTGGCCCATGCATAGGCATAATTTCTTTATACTCTCTATTCAAACGTTGTCTAAATTGATGTTTGAAAGTTTCGATCAATGTATGCAATTCTCATATTTGGACGAAAAGCTTATGCTGGCCGAATTTGATTCTCTGTAAGTTAGGAATGAATTTCTCTTAAATGATTCGTTATCTTGTCAGCAATTGTTGTTATAGAAAAAACAATGGGAACCGAGATTCAAGCCATTGCAACATTTGCTGTGGATCAAAATGAGTGGGATCAGGTCCCAAGCATGGGGTGAGACATCCTTTCATAGGATTGTCTTCAAATGGAGAGAACATATTGGAATGGACCTATACACTCGTGAGTGGTCTCGGATGGATTCAACTAAAATTCTAGTGTTCTTGGGTAAGAGTGTAAAGGTCCCAGAAACGTGATGGGTTAGGGTGGAAGGGGAAGATGTGTGCTATCCTTGGAAATGGAGGACGCTGAGAATGTCATAAAAGTGGATGCAGTATGAGAAAACCAAAGAATGCCTCGAGGCTCGAGTGTAGGTAGATCAACATAAGTTAATTCGAAAGTGTTGGTTAGAATAGATCATAAGAAAGATCATATGAAGGAGATTGTTCACAAAGAGGAGCATGGTCTAGTTAGTGATGCCCCTGATGATCGGGCAAACATTTTAAGCCTTGGTAAAATGTGGCCGATTGAGTTGGCATTCCAAAATCCAGTAGGGGGAAAGGTTATAAGGAGTTCAGATGGTAAATTTGATAGTTGGGAAAATGAACTTTAACAAAAGGAGAATTGCTTGTGGTTGGAGGCAGGTGATACTAGGTGGATTACCACGAGAAAACGGAGCAAGGGTAAACAAAGAAAAAAAACATCCAAGTATGGAAAGAAGAAGTTAAATTGGTTTTGGGAAATCAGAGAGTCTTAGAGATGTTTCAAATTTTAAGTTGCAATTCAAACTTGTATGGATAAAATTAGCTTTGAGGAAGAGCCTATGAGCAATAGGGGTTTAGACAATTGAATTCGACAAAAAGTTCAATGGTGGGCGAATTTATGTTGGCGGATAGACCGGTAAATACAGTGAGGCAGTTAGTCTCAAGAGAGTTGGGAGTGGAGGGTAACGTAGTCTTAGGAAGTGATAAGGTGATTGATATCAATGAAGGACAACAACAAATGAGTTTTGGGGGAAATCAAGAAGATGGGTTAGGGTCTCTTTCGAATATGGATTGGAAGGCTATGACAGAGCTTAAAGCCAATGATATAGTGGGAGGAAAGGAGATCATAGTTGTAGTGGATCCAAAATTAGATTCTTGCAGGACGTTTGGCTGGGAAATACTAATCTTAAAGAACAGTTTCCTTGAATTTTTGCATTATCAGTGGTTAAGGAAGGATGGGTTTCCTCTTTTGGGAAATGGGTGGACGGAAAATGGCTTTGGGCTATTCAACTCCGAAGGGAAGTCCTAAATTGGGAGATAGAATGGTGGGAGACTTTTATGGTTGAATTATCAGAATATTGTCCAAGATGAGAAGTCGAAGATAGGGTGGTTTGGACAGGATCGGAGAACAATATTTTCTTAATAAGGGATGGTAACCGAGCGATCTAACAAGGTATGGAGAATGATCAGATGGAGGAGTTAATCTAGAGCAGCCCTGCCCCTCCTAAAGTGCATGTATTGATGTGGAGAGTGATGAATAAAGGGATCCCTGCAAGAATGGAATTGATTAGAAGGGGAATGAATCTCATGGGAGGTGGGGAATGCCCAATGTGCGGTCTAGAAGATGAGGAATCCAATCATCTCTTTATACATTGTTACTTTGCATTCTATCTTTGGGGGGAAGTGTCCGGATGGTTCGGCATCTCATGGTTTGTGCCAAAGGATGTGCAAGATCTCTTCATAGGTTGGAAACACTTTCAGAGACATAAAACATGTAAAGCCATATGAGAGATTTTGTGTTTTGCGATTATGCAGTGTATATGGTTAACAAGGAATGAACTAGTTTTTCAAGGTAAATCTCCTTCAAAATTTGGCTTGGCTTATAGAGTTAAAATAGACTGCATGGAAATGGTTCAATGCTAAAACCCCAGGTTCGGATAGTAAAGCAGTGTTGTTTTCTCACAATTTGAATCAATTACAAGTGAAACCAAAGGTGAAAATGCTAGTGAATCGGATAAATATATCATGGATCCCCCCTAAAAGGGGATGGTGGAAGATTAATGTGGATGGTTTGGCATTTGGATACCCCGGGAATGCAGGGGTTGGGGTAGTGATTGAGGATGATGCTGGTGTGATCATCCTGCTGCTATCTAAGTATATTGAAGTATCGACCTTGATAGAAGCTGAAGTGGAGGCAGTACATCATGTCTTTGAGGAGGTCTGTAAATCAAAGGCATTTCCGTTACTGAGGATAATTTTGGAAAGCGACTCTGCTTCGGTGGTAGCATGGTTATAAAGGAAAACTCAATTCCCATGGAAGATGGACGCCAAAATCCAGATAATCTTTAGCTTTCTCGAACATTGCAATGCAGCTGAAGTCTCCCATTCCTTAAGATAATCAAATTGTCTGGCAGATGGTTTGGCCAAGAGAGGAGCACGGATGGCGCAATATTTGATCGCATGGTTGTGAGTAGGTGCTATCTTCTTACATGGTCTCAAGGGAGAAATTACGAAGGGTTGTATCTAGGGGTTTCTGGGCAACGGATCTTTGAAGGGAGGTATGGGATTTTCGTATTGGAAATTAGAAATGAATATTTTGGTTTTGGAAAGGAAATTTTCAATCGAGGTTATATCAGAAACTGTTGAAAATTTTGAAGATTCTATTGGTTTTAATCATAGTATTATCCTGGTATCCCCTGAAGAGAAGTTGAGTATACGGTCTTTGGTAAAGTTCTGAGGTAAATGCTTGTCTTGTATGTTCTTAAGGATCAATCTAGTTTTCTTTCAGTATCTTTCATATGCTTCTGTTGAGGGGCTCTCCGTGAGTTTGGAAAATTGTTTAATTAAAATGTATTGTATGTTTCATTTAATTTAAATTGAAATAAACTGCTTATTTTTTTAAAAAAAGGCGCAACTTTCTTATTTAATTCTTTCTTTTCTAGTTCTTCTTTTCTTGTTCCACTATCTTCTTTCTTTTAGTTTTCTTTTCTTGTTCTCTTTATTCATTCTTTTTTTTTTCTTTGTCTCTCTTCTTCTTGCTTCTCTTATCCATCTCTTTGTTCTCAGTCTTTGTTTTTGGGTGCATTTTGTGTTCTTGGACTTCTTCCTCCGCTTTCGTCGTTATTTTCTACGGCCATCGTCTTCACTTTTCTCAAGCAATGCTATCCTCATCCCCGATTGCAGTGTAAGACATGTTTTTCCTCTCCTTAATCTCTCTTATCCGGCTACAGTCTTACTTTTTTCTAGCCACTTATTCAATTTAGTAGTGGGTGTGAGAATATTTTGATAATTATGCTTTTAGTCCAAGAATTTTGGCGGTAAGTGGTGCCGCTTTTGTAAAAAAGAAAAAGAATGGTAGTGGTAGTTTAAATGTTGGAATAAATATATTTATAATGGTAAAATTATAACCAAAAGTTGGGCGGCGAGGCAGTGGACGTTGTCCAGTAACGTTGTCGGCGGTGGGCAACATCGTTGGCGGTGAGGCGATGTGGCGTTGCTTTGGTTGTGTGGTGGTGTGGCATGGCGGTAGTGGCAGAAACTGAAGTTGATAACTTAAAAGTACAAATATAAAAATATAATCGTATATGGTAGTGGGTAAAATGTGGCCCACACATAATTTTTATAAAAAAAGAATATAAAAACTCCATAATATTACACGCCGGCTCT